CATCTGGACACAGCAGGGACAGCTGCCCCAGCTGACATGTGGCCTCGTGGGGCGGCGGCTGCCGGTCCTGGTGATGGGCGGTGGATGGAAACTCAGCAGGCCCGTCTCCAGAAGCCGGGTCAGTGAGGTCTGAGGTGTTATTTTCAGACCACATCACCCACCTTTCTGTGCTCACCTTCCTTCGAGGGACACGGAGGAGGAGTGAGAAGGCCTCTGGCCTCTATGGAATGGTCTTAGAGCTAGACCTGTCTCCTAACAGATCTAATTTGCGTCTTTCCTTTTTCAATGTTCTGCATCGTTTTTGCCTCTCTGTCCTCTCCCCGCCGTATTTCTCTCCCTTTCATCCTCCCACCCTGACCAGCATCTTCTTCTATGCTCTCTGTCCCACTTCTGCTCCTCCCAGGACCTCCCCCAAGGCCCTCCTTCAGCCCGTGTGCCTCTCGGGGCTGGCATGGCCAGCTCTTCAGGAGCCTGGGAGATCCGCTCAGCAGAACTTTCTCTCTTCTGCAAAGGCAACTGGCCTCCAGCACGAGTCGGTCCTCCTGACTCTCACCGTAGTGCTTTGCACGACACGCGTCTCACCAATCAGTGTAAGTGGGTGTCACCAGCACGCCACCTTCATCAGATGTTTCTACTGTCACATGTATGAGCTGACCGAAGAGAATGAGAGAGAGGAGAGAGAGGTGGATTTAGCAGCCTTCGGTGGTTGAGTAGTTGTTCCCAGCCTGTCATGGAAGAAAAGAAAGAAATACAAGAAGGAAGGAAGGGAGGAAAAAGAAAAAGGAAAAAGAAAGAAGAAAGAGGAAGAAAGAAAAAAAGAAAAAGGAAGAGAACAAAGAAGAAAGAAAAAGAGAGAAAGAAAGAATGAGAAAGGAAGAAAGAGAAAGAAAGGAAGAAGAAAAAGAAAGAGGAAAGGACATAGAGAGGATTTGACATTACATTTTTAGTTCATATTTAACCTGAAGCCTTTTGTGAAGAGCAAAAGGAACTTATGCACATCATGGGCGTTGTAGGGTTGGACTCAGCAAATAAAATGGTTTCTTCAAAACCTCTTTGCAGGGCCGACAGGGAAGGGCACACCTCTTGGTGGGAC